ATATCCCTTTCAGTTATTAAGATTAGTTATTCTTCCAGTTTCTTTTGTATGTTGAATGTAATATCTTTTTCCATGTAATTTGTGTAGTCTGTTATTTTCGAACCCACTTTCAACTCAGTCTCAACCAGGGCATGTTATTCTCTTATAACAACTTTTAAACACAGTGCATTTATAATGGCAGACACTCTTAAAATTAATTTCTGCATTCATTGTTCAATATGTCCAATGTTGAAATATTTTATTTCATTAGTCCGATTTGAGTTTTCTTTTCCTTTAATTGTAATCTTTAGTTACTTCTAGTTCCCTCTAGTGTCCAATATTAAAAGTCTTAGTTTTTTAATGAATTTAAAGCAAAAACATTTTCCAGTGGAAAGGATTCTTTAAAATTAATTCCAAAATCTTATTCCAAAGTTATCTGGACTCTTAGACCATATCTTTCTAAAATCAAAATTTTAATCACCCTTTTGCTATTCCCTATTCCATAAAATAAGTTCTTAAAATTTTATCTAAAACTTCTTTTGCTAAGGATTGAAGGAAACTTACCTGGTGCTATAAAACTTGTCAATACAAAGCTTCCTAATAGCTGAAAAGCTATTAAGAAGCAATTTCAATAAATAATTAAAAAAAAAGAATGTGAAGCTAGTTTCCTTAAAAATGACAACCATTGGTTGAGCAAGATGATATTCCTTTGTCTCCCAGACCTCTAAACCCATTCGACACTGCTGTCTTGTATTCTGTTCACAGGAAGCAACTGTCTGTAGCACTTGTGGATGATCTCATGTCCAGAAAGGAATTGTGGATTCCTTGTCCAGAAAGAATTATGAAGGCCCAGTCTACTCACCAGCTCTTCATTCCGCCATGGTCATTGGCTCTGATTTTTATGGAGTTGTCTTCAATTTGCCATTTCTTCCCTGGAAGTCTGAAAATAAATATATTATTGAAGACTAGGAGATTAAACCTGGAGAATATATAGCAATTGAAAAATTAGTAACATATAGTCACAACTGAAGGCTAACAACATTTAAGAATGACTTCAATATCAGTGCATATTACACAGCAAGGTAAATATAAGGGTCTAGAGTAAAAAATTTGAAATCAGAGATGCAATTTTTAATGTCTATAAATGTTGAACAACAGCCAAAGTATTACAAAAAGGTTATTGGAAACTAATGTTTATCTTACAATATTTTAGTAGTTATTTTATGTTCTTAAACAACAAATAGTGGGTATTTGGCATTCATTTTGGCAAGTCAGAGATTTAAATTTTATATTGTTAAAATATTTAATTTACTTAATTTTGTAATGTGAAGTTCTAATCAACTAATCAACAATATGGTTAATTTCTAAATTCTAATCCGTGATATACTGAGCACTTACTGTATAAACATGACAATGTCTGTATATACTTGGGTATAATGTATTCTTTAACTTTAATAATGGAATTTTTTAAAATAAAATATGAATAAGATATAAACAATTAAGCCAGTGTTATTCTCAGGTTCTATTCTCAGAGCTGTTTCTATGTTAGAGAAGCTGTAGTCAAGGAACATGGACAAATGAATTTCCTTATGCTCCAGTGCCTCAAACACCTGTTGTGAAACTTCAGTTAATATTTGCAATCTTTATTTGGTTAACAACAAATTTTATGGCTCTGACCTATATTATTGCCTGAAATGACATCATATAAAAGAAAGATGAGGAATAAGAAATTTTCAGGACTGGCTGGAATCAAACTCCCCTTTCCTATATTGTTATATTTTAATTTCAATATTATTGTACAAACTTAGAAGGTGAAATGGGCAGGATATGTTTTCCAATGTACAAAAACCCCCACCAACAACTCACCAGTTCTCTCATAGTTGGAGGCAGATAGAAAAATTAGGCCCTCTACATACAGTTTTTAAAAAGAAATTCCAGGCGAATCTCTTACAGTATATTATGAACTTAAATTTACATGAAGCAGTATCATTTCCCTACATATAACATTATGTAATGTTGTAGAAATTATTTCTTTGTGATCCTTTTTTCCCCCCATGAATGAGTAGAGTGTGAAGAACTAACATGATTAAAACTGGATTTGAACACTTACTGACTTCCTGTAGCTCTTAAGTAATAACAGTAACAGCTGTTGCTCTTCCCATTAGTGGAGAAAGCAAAGAGCTTTTTTTCTTTAAGGATGTTTGCCTGTCAGGCTACAGGAGAAAGCTGCGGTGTCTGATGGAATATGGATCCCCAGGTAAGCAATAGCAGCCTGTAATGCAACTTTGGTGTTCACCATCAGGAGATTGCCAATGGGTGTGTTGAAGGATATAATCACTAACTTCATTTGTAATTGTAATATAGATGATGCTGTGGGATAATTGTTCTAGCAAGTGTCAAAATAAAACCGTTGTGAGTAGCTTCATTGTTAAAAAATATCAGTCACGGCACTAGGTTTTTAAAATGGGTTCCTTCTATGGCTTTACAACTTTCCTTAATATGGAAATGTTTGCATAAATCTATTCAGAGGAATAAAAGTGAACAAATCACTCTATGTTCTGAGAACAAAATCTGAAAAGAAACAGTTCATCATATAATGTTATCTCATTCAGTGCACTGGAAATATGCTATAGAATGAGCCTACTATTTTTATTTATTACATTACATTATATAATATGGTGAAATATAATAATGTGGAATATAATACAGTAAAATTATATGTGTGTGTGTGTGTGTGTGTGTGTATATATATTTGTTTTCTTAAGTTTTCGCGGGTAGTTATATATATGGTATTCAGCTTTGTTCAGGTATTTTCCCACGTCATTATTGTTGTGCTTTTAAAGTTGTAGCAACGTTTCGGCAGAATCTCATCTGCCATCATCAGGCTTCTGTATGGTGTTCATCTGTGAGTCAGACTTTTACAGTTGTTTCAGTTTTAAATTTGGTGCTAGCCTATGCTGTGCCAGAATGGTTTTTTCTTCGTCCTGATTGGTTGGGAGTCTTGGTCTGTATTTATTGGTCTTGGAGTTTGCTATGTTCTGCTTGATTGGTGTTTCTAATATCTTCTGTCTGTTTTGTAGCTTTTTTTGTCTTGATTGGCTGGCAACATTGTGTTTGCTGTATTGGAGGCTTTTAGTGCAGCTTGGCTCCGAATAAATGGACAGCTATCATTTATTAGGAAGCTAGGTTTCATCTGGGTGGCTGGTTGGATTGTGTTTGATCTGGAGGTATCAGGGGGAGTCTGGCACAGCAGTAGGCTAGCACCAAATTTAAAACAGAAACGGCTGTGAAAGTCTGACTCACAGACGAACACAATACAGAAGCCTGATGATGGCAGATGAGATTCTGCCAAAACGTTGCTACAACTTTAAAAGCACAACTATAATGACAGTTGAGGTCCCAGAATTGCATACAGCCTCCTGAGTTGTGGCCTCAATAAACTCCAGAAGTTATTATTCAATTTATATTGAATAATATATATTATATTATTATTAAATTATAATAAGGAGAAAGTATACATTAGACATTCGGGAACAATTACCATATTTTTGCTTCATAAGATGCACCTAGGTTTCCAGGAGGAAAAGACCAAAAAAAATATGAATATGGAGCTCTGTCTCACTGTGAATATGGAGCGCCAAATACGGAGCCGCAGTGCAGTGAGGGCAGGAGGCAGAGCCTGAGAGGACCACAGATAGGTGTCCTCTCATGTGCCAATTCTGCCTATTAATTCCTGCACTGTGGAAAAGAGACAGAAGAGGTGGGCAATGACAAAGACAGAAGAGGCGAGGTTCAGCACTGTAAAAGGACCCTGCTGCCGCAGCCCGGCTGCTATTCCCCATATTCACTCCATAAGACGCACAGACATTTCCACCCACTTGTTGGGGGGGGGGGGAAGTGTGTCTTATGGAGTGAAAAATATGATGTATTTTTAGTTTCAATCCTTTTCAATTAGCACTGAATTGACAGATTTAATTTTTGTCTTGATCTCCCTACCACCACCATTTTGCTATCCGTGCCATTCGCCATCCTGCTACTCAAATGACCCTCAGCACAGAAAATATTGCACACTTTATTTATGTACAAAGGATGTACAGGAATATAAAGTTAATATTTTTGATGTTTCTATTAAACAGCTGCAAGGTCAAAAGAAGGTTGGAGGTAATTCAGTTTGAGAGCTGGAAAAATGTGATTTCATTACAATGGATCTGCTACTGGGTGAATATTTTCTAGATGGGTCACAGAGCTTGAGTAGTTGCATTCATCCCCTGCATATTAAAATATTGTTTGGAAAAATAGTCTCTGTGGCAGTGCTTCTCAGCCTTAGTAACTTTAAGATGTGTGACTTCAACTCCTAGAAATCTCCAGCTAGAATTCTGGAAGTTGAAGTCCACATACACATACATCATAAAGTTGTTGCAGTTGAGAAACTCTACTCTAGAGGTTTCTGATGTAGACCCACCATATGCACCAGAAAGTTCAGTTCCAAACAGTTCCTAGCTAAGAAGTCAAAGGTGCCACTTTGGAGAAGTTTCACTTTGTGGACTTACCACAATGAATAATTAATTCCTCCCTGCTAGCGGTGTAAAGCTTCTCAAAGCTGAAGCTTCAGTTACATCTGGTTTTCAAAGATAATTACTAGTAACATCATTCAGGTTGTCTATCTTTTATATAAAGACTAGCCATTAACCTGGCATTGTCTGGGTATTTATATATCCCAATCCTATATTAGACAGGAGAATCCTGTAGTCGGGGCTCATGTTGTTGTACTGTTTCTTGTGCAGCGTCACAATTCTTCTATTCCTCCACAAGGGGGAGTCCACTTGTGGAGTACTGTGACCATGGCAAGTCCACTTTGCTGTACAGTAGAAGCCATTTTAAGGCACACACACCCTGAGGGATGTTAGGGGTGTCTTACCCCCATAGTATTTGTTTCCAGAGGGTAAGTCATCTGTGTACCAAGTTTGGTTGAAATTGCTCCAGGCGTTCCAGAATTGTATTTGTGTTTTTTTCCCCATCAGGCAGAGGGCAAGATGAAAGCATGGTCCTTTCTTGTTCTGTGGGCATTTACAATCCTGTACCTGGTTTCATACACGGATGCCTTTTCCCATGGGGCCAGCCTTTCTGCCTGTTCTGATATGAGACCCAAACATATCCGAGCTCACCTTCAGAATCCTCAGAATAATTACATTACCATCCACACCAACACTTCCTTTTCTCCAGGTGACAAGGTACCAGGTAAGAAATAGCACCTGATTATGGGATTCTCAGGGATAATTAGAAGGCTGTAGATAGCAGCTTATTGCAAGGCTATCAACAGGTGTTTGCAATAAGCCATGATTTGGGGAGCGACACATGTGATCACAGCCCTTTTTTGCACCCTGATCAATAATTCTGAGAATCACACTGCCGAAATGGTAATGGGAAGGGGGCATTTATTTTTCTGTCTTGAAATACACATGTGAAATCTCTCAAACTTATTTTGACTAAAATAAAAAAGCCCCCAAAATGCCCCTGAAAAGTAGTCCTGATAAGTTCTGTATCATCACCACTTTTCCAGCCGTCCTCCCTGGTACTCTGGAAAAAGAAGACAGGCAAAGCAAATTAAGCTCAGAAGTTGCCCAACTTTCCTGCACACAGGGCTTTGATATGCTTCTTGGTGGTTTGCCCATACTTGTTGGACTTTGGTTTTTGCTTTGTTTGGAAAATTTTGCTGTGGAGAACGGCCTTCATTTTTCAACATCCCGCTTGGTTTCCTAAGGCAAGAAGACAGAATTAATTGGTAAACAGGAAGATGTATATAAAAAAGGCTAAACAAATGTAACAGGAAGAAGACATTGTATAGTATTTGGAATAATTTTAGAAAAATGTGCTTTATATGCTTCTCACAGTGATATGCACTCAGCTATGTTGGGAAGGTAAAAAGCTGCAGCGAAGACATCTGCTCCTAGAATACATGTGATGATTTATTTTCATTAGATTTCTAGGGTGCAGTTTCAGGCAGAATTATTTCCTTCTAAACAGAACTTCTAAGAATGCTATTTTTGTGAGTTTAGTAGCAGTAAGCCCATACATCAGACTCAGTTGAAAAGAGAGCATCGGTATTTTTTTTGCAAAGAACTTATGAATCACCACTGCTTACTATTTCCTACTTTCCTTATCAAAGGACATGACCACCTTTTGCTGTGGAATTTCTAGTATTTCAGCAAAGTGAAGTTCTCTATCAAAGCAACAAATAAGCCAGGTGCTTAAGAGAGCTAGGAGGGCTTAGAGTAAGAAGGTAGAGAACTTCCATTACAGGTATTGTCTCTTGCCTTCATTATCTACTTAAATTTGTTGCCCAAATCACCCAACACAAAACTCCATAAACCAGTATCAATAAAAATAATTTCTTTTATTATATACCTTTTCAACAGGTCCTCAAGACAAGTAATATGAATCTCTCCATTTATTACAGTTCCAAGAACAGCTCTCAGATTGAGAGAAAAAGACATTTTAAATCCCCCTAAGTTTCTATGGTTAAGAATAAGGCTTGAACTTGTATTGTGCTGTTAGGTTTATTGAATAGATAAAACTTTTAGATAAAATAAACTTTTGAAATTCCCAGTGCGTATGCATTCTTTGTTTATAAGGGATTATAATATTCAAAAGAGAAACTGTAATTTAGGTTATATGCCAGAAGCCATAACTTGAGGTTTCAGACCCAATAGTCTTCTCTATGACCCAAGGATGCTCAGCTTGTTAAATATGCAATGACGCCTCATTAATATATATGTACGCTGTACACGAGGGTGGAATCTGATTCCACTCATTGGTCCAGCCACTGACGGGAATAATAAAGTCCTGTCAGTGGCTGAAATGTTGGACAGTGCCAGCTATAAAAGTCGGTGCCCTTTGCGTCTTGCCACTTTTTGTTCCCGAACCTTAAATAAGGAGTTTTACTGCATCCTACAGTCCTGCCTCTTACTTCAGCCATTTTACACGGCTTTTCTGCTTTTAGTTTAGCAAAGGAAAAGTCCTAGTTAGTCCCCTCCAATGTGGGGAACAAAAAGTGGAATTGTGCCTCATGAACCCTAACCCACAACACTACCATATCTTCTAGGCATTTGTTCTCATAAAAGGCAGCTGAAATCCCAATGTCTGAGGCAGGAGGAATGTTCACCACTATCAAAATTATTGACTTCTGTATCTCTTCCATATTCCCTTCCTGACATCTTTTCCTTAGTTCTATTTTTTTCTGTCATTAATTGTCTTTAATATTTCATAGTTTTTTTTCCTATTGTTTATCTTTTGTATTTTCATAATCTTGCTCAAAAAAGTAATGGGGGAAGGAAATGAAGATAAAAGAATTGGTGATGTGATTTGTAATATGGACACTATTTTATTTTTACCTCTATTAGTTTAATGTTAAATGTGGAATGACTGAACGGGCCTAAAATTTGCATCTTTTTAAGGAAGAGGAATTATAGTGAAGGGAGAATTATAGGAAATAAAGGTACTGGGCTGCAACCTATTTTATAATGTCTTTAAAATATTATTTGTCTCTAAAAGTGGGTTTTGTTTTGCTATTTCACTTTTGAGAAGATTGAAAAGTGCTTTCCCATTTCTCTGCATTTTGTGCTAACCAGAAATTACTGCTGTTATTATGGTCTTGTTGCCCCTCTATTTCTTGTTCTGAAGTCTCACTATTGCCTATATGTCCCCATATGGGATACTCCATAGGTGAAATTCCTTTCCTTGTGCCTTAATTGAAGGTAAGAAGCCAATAAAGTTGCAAATATTTGAAAAGAACAATAAAAGATAGGAAACTCTCACAAACAGACTCTGTAGCCACTATATCACTAAGAATATGCCAGAATATTATACACCATACAGCTTCTCATCTGCTTTGGGGAAAAAGAGAATTATTTCCCCCCCAACAAATTGATGAGAATGGTTGAAAAATATGTAAGAAAAATGTGTTCACTGTAGCTCTGGCACACATAATAGCAACCTCTTTTTCCAAGTCATAGCACTAATGTTCTACTTTAGTAGAACTTCTAAAAGATTGCCAAGTTGCTTGAGGGTTTATATATCTTCTGGGTTTTATATATCGGAGGCTTTCAAAAAAGTAAGAGTTTGGAATGAAATTATTTCCTTCTTGTCAATCAAACTTATGCTTAGTTCCTTCCAGAAAACATGGCTGTGAGCAGAAGCATATCTGCAATGTGAAGCAAGCCAATTCTGGTATAAACATAAACTCTACACTAAGTTGTTGTAGTTGGACTTCACCTCAGAAGCCTCTGCTCTTCAGCCCCACAACTACAGTAATATAAATGTTTTTGCATTGCATCCTTTTTTTCCTCTCCAGTTACAATCAGGAGTTCACGTGATTTTATGGGCTTCATGCTTCAAGCTCGCAGGGTTCTGAATGACCAAATAGCTGGCACATTTATATACATTCCTCCTGGATCCAAATTACTGACTTGTTTTGAAGATGGTGACACTGTTACCCATTCAGACAAATCACTTAAGAGAAACTTGTCTTTTGTGTGGAAAGCACCAGATCAGCCTATTGGCAACATCAGATTCTTGTAAGTATTTGCTTGCTAAGTATGACATCGCCTCCTAAGGAAGTATTCTAATAATTCAATTGATGAGAAACAGATAAGGGTTTTGGTCTGTAGGTTTCATTAAGAAGAGCATAGAGCAATGACATCCAACCTTTTGAATCCCAGGGACTGGTTTCATAGAGAAAGCTTTTTCTGTGGACCGGAGAAGGTGTGGTTTTGCATGCTACCTGCATCCTGTAGATGGGACTTCGCTTGTTTGTGCGGCTCGGTTGCTGGCATGCCATGGCCCATGGCTGGTCCACAGACTGGTAGTTGGGGACCCCTGGCATAGAGCATAGGTTTTGGATACAAATATGGAAATGTTTAAAATGTTATTTTACATTCTGATTATTTACTTGAAAAGGATAATCTAGAAGAGAATTTATTCATGTCTGGCATGCGTTTCTAATTAGCGGAATATAGGATGTATGAATATTATACTGTAATAGTAAAATTGTTCTATGCCTAATGTTTTCATGCATTTTTTAATTGCACTGTTTGCAGATTTCAAATAATTCTTTTTTATTTACTAAATGATTCATTGATGCAGAGAATGACTAAGGCCTTTCTTCAAATACTTTACAGTTTGTCACTTGTTCAGTCGTACTTTGTTTATTGGGCAAAGATTGAATCGTCAACTGTTTCTCAACAAATGCAGAATAAAACAATTACTGAAAATAATGATGTCTCCAGTACAATTAAACCAGCTCTACTCCAGGAGCTTATTGATCTGAAAGGAACATTTACTGTAGGAAAAAGTAAGTTGTCCTCTCACACACATTTTTTCTTGTAGGAAAGACTGTAAGTGCCTATTTTATTTTTTTAGTTGTTTTTAGTTGTCTTAACTATACAATAGCACATTTGACACAAGCTTTCATATTGAATTCTAAATTTATTGAGGCAGAAAGTGGATTCTTATTTTCATGAGCAAAATGTCCAAGTCAACTAATTTTTAATTACTGCCCTGATTCAATTAACAGTCTAACAGTGAATAGATTATAAATGAGCAAGATAGTTTCTCTAAGATAGCTTTTGCTCATTTTTTTTGTCTATTATGAGGTGATACCTTCATATGAATACACTTTATGAGCTGTCATTTGGACCTTTTGATAAAAGTTGGAAAAGAAAAGGGCCAAATACTTTTTTCTCCTTTTCTTTGCATTTTTTAAATATTAGAATATCTTTTCTCTTTTTGACAGACAGGAACAGTTCTTAGGCAAAAGGAGAGAGTAGACCTGCCTCAAGTAAAGAAAACACAGCAATCCGTAACAATCTCTGCTCTATCCATATACTGTAAACTTCTCAAGAGGCATTTGACTGACTTCTCTCAGAAATAAACTAATGGCTTAGAAATATGTTCATCTAATTATATAATTCATCACAATACTTTATAATATGTGTGACAATTGTTTAACATGGAGAGGGTTTATGTAAATAAGCATGTTTTATATTTTGTTCATTGCAGTTTTTTTTAAATGTTTTGTTTTTGTTTCTCCTTCCACAAGGAAGTTCTGTTCCTGATTCCATTGTAACTCCGTTTGCGATGTTTACACCCACCCCCAGCCTGATTCGAACTGAAGCAATCCTGGCTTCGGATTCATCAACTTACCACGGAAAACAAGCCTCTGATGTTGGCATCACTAGAAATTTTCTTTCTGACTCCTTTGTAGACAGGGTCACTTCGCATGACATAATGCTCAGTAATGGAACAGATAAAAGTGGTAGTTTCTCTCTGGAATCATCCCTTCAGCTTCAGGATCTGAATGTCAAAGTGCAAAATTATTTTTCCAGTTCATACAATAGGTAGCGTGAAAGTACAGTATTAAGTGTGTGTGTATGTGCGTGTTAATGGCAATGAGTGAAAAGCTGGTATTGTATAGAATGCCTAGGAAATCTATAAATGTTTGACATTTTAGGCAAAGTATGAAATGTCTGTTTTATTTAAATATGCCACATGCTTTCCCTAGGCATTGTATATATTAACTAGGTATTATGCAGAATGATAAGAACTATTTAGGCAAAGTATGAAAAGAGAGTCATGAAAAAGGGTAGGGTTAGGTCTAGGGTCAGGGTTAGGGTTAGGGTTAGCCTAACACTAACCCTAACCTTAATCCTACCCCTTTATTGTAAAGGATATAGAGTCACAAAATGATATAGGTATCCTTAGCAAGGTGGGTAACTTGAAATGGCTGAGCAAATACAAACGTACTTTTCAAACAGACAGCTATTTAAAGTTACACCTGCCAAAATATCTTAGGGAGATATTTACACAAGCGAGATTCAAACAGCTTGACACAAAGGTCGGATATGGGAGATTCTATTCTATACTCTACAATGGATGTCTGAATTTGCGGACTGGCAGAGGTAAAAGACCTATCTCACATCCTATTTGATTGTTGCCTGTATAAGAGGGTGAGAGACAGGTACCTTGGTCTATATACTAAACGAATGATCCACTGGGATCCCCATATCAAAACAACTTAACTTAAGTGCGGCCAGAATCTGAAAATAATATTTAATACAGCACAGTACTTAAGCAAAATGGTTTGGTTGAGATAGGCATATGTGGGACTGATTGAGTTAGATTGTAGGGGTGATACCGAAATATAATTTTATCTTATTTTATTTATCTATATATTAAATTATTGTATTTTATTTCAGTTTCGTTGAAAATCATATTTTATTCCAATTCCAATTTAAATTATTTTTTTAATCAGATTTTAGTTATAATTTTGGTCAGGAACTCTGCTCTTTGATATGGCCCAGGGCTAATCAATAAAGTCAAGTACTTTATTGAAAAGACATATAATATGAAAATTAAAGAAGAATTACAAAGCATAGTACAGGACTTTCTTTCTGGGAAAAAAAAAGAAGAGAAAAAGACCTCTATTAACCTACTTGTTGCAACAAAGAAGGCTAGAATGGAATTTTAATGGGAGTATTTTATAGTTTGCTGGTTTGTCTTTTGGTATTGCATAGAATGCTTAGGAAATGTATGAACTATTAAGCATTTCATACTTTGACCTCCCATTTTTGGCATTCTATAGATTTCCTAGGCATTCTATAAAATGCTTAGTTTCACACATTGTTGGTAGCATATATAAAAATTGTCATTATGTGCTAGCACTGATGATGTTGCCTAGTTTGGGCAATGAAATGTCTGCAAGAAAACAGCCAAACTGAGAGAACATAAGGTTCCCTTAAGCCCTAGGATTGTGTTTCATTTTAAGTAAATAATATTCTTCTTAGCCTTCAAACCCCAATCTTACAGACATTTACTACAAGAAGATTTCATTGAATCACATCGTTAATGGAAATGATACATTTCCTATAATCCTAAACTTTTAAATCCTCATGGCATGGCCAAGTGTACCACCAGTATCTTATGAAACAGAATAGCTACCAACAATGCAAGTTCATTCACTTGCCTAATTGGGAAAGTTTAAACTTCCTGCCTGCTTTAGTTCATATCCAGACAGGATCTCTCAGAATTAATCTAATACAGACCTCATAACTGCTAGTAGCATATAAATGTTGATGTGCCTGGAAATTGAAGTATCAAGTACCAAGTATCATCCAGAAGGCCACAAGTTTCCATACCTGCTTTTCAATAAGGCAAACAACAAGAGTGTTCGTTATGTCATTAATACACTGTATAGGCCTGATCTCATTGTTGAATCATTATGAAGTACTAATCTAGGAGCAATATCCTTAGAAAATTTCACTTTCTAAATGTTGGGAATACATTATATTTATAAAGATGCGTGAGTGAGGTGTGAAGATCTTAGTCACTCAATGGCTCACAAGATGTTAAAATTGTGACTGAGAACTGGAAGTTGGCATCTGTGAAATATCCTGATTACTTGAAAACTCTGTACATCTGTTCTGAAAATGATAGAGATTCATAACAGGAAGCAGCGTTTCAGCAGACCGAAAGCAAAAAAATCAGCATGGATAGCATAGCTGAAATGTGGGGGGGGCTTTCGTCCTTGCATTTTCTATTTGTAAAATGAAAAATATAAGAAATACATAATGGCAGTAAGAAAAGTGCCTACAGAATTCAAACTGTAGTAACTATTAGTACAGTGGAGTACAATTTCTAAATATTTACTAATATTAAGAGTAATTAATTGGAACTTCCTCTTCAACATTTTAGGACAGAAACTGCTTCAAGTATTCCCATGTCTCTCTTGTGTCTGACATGTAAGAAAAGCAAGCAGGTAAGCCTTTGGGGATTTGTGTGTGTGTGTGTGTGTGTGTGTGTGTGTGTGTGTAAGCTAAGACATAACATCTTTTAGAAAATATCTATAATTTCACCTCTATAATAGCCTCATAAATTCTTCCCATGCTAGAAGTCCAGTCTTATAAGGCACATTTTTAGAATTCTGTTTTAGAGGTGTTATTTTTCTTACTCCTGTTGAGTAAAAAAACCAAACTGCATACACTGAAGTCTGTTTTCTGCAGATTTCAGTAGTTTTACCCGTAACTCACATGTCACCCACTTTGCAACAGAAGTGCTTAAGTCCCACAAGAATACTCAATGGGAAAACCAGCAGAAAGTTAGAATTTGTTTCCAGTCCCACTTGCTTTTCTGTCTACCCATGGTCATTATATTTCTATTTAATTAAGTAAATATTTCTGAACTAATGGGCCAATTGGAGAAGGGTTGTCTATTAATGATTACGTTAAGAAAAAAAAAATCTATTTTAATACTGACCCCACTGGACATAATTATTTATATTCTGATCAAATTTGTATTTAAGTTCTACAGTAGTCTGTGAAATTGGCTAGAACCTGCTATTTTCAGCGTGTAGAAAACAAATGAAGATGATTGGATCCACTTTTTTGCCTACCTATGTGCTAGAGAAAACTGGTCTCTGTGCTCCAAAAACTGATAGGTTGTATCTTTATATTATTGGACTTCAGAGTGACCGGTGGTTTAGATAATAATTCCCAACAGTTTACATGCTCAATGGGCCCTTTCTTAAACACTTAAACAAAGGAGTGGTCAGACATTTTCCCTATGTAAAATGTTTGTTATCTTTGATAAAAAAAAGAACACTTAAAAAAACTTGCACAGTTAATTAACTAAAAGGCATTGTTTTTAGCCTAGGTATTAGGTATATTTGAATAGAATAGAATTCTTTATTGGCCAAGTGTGATTGAACACACAAGGCATTTGTCTTGGTGCAAATACTCTCAGTATACATAAAAGAAAAGATACATTCGTCAAGAGTCAAGAATCATAAGTTACAACACTTAATGATAGTCATAGGGTACAATAAGCAATCAAATCATACTAGGAAACAGTCAATGTATATCATAAGGAATGTGATTCAGGACCTGTCACAGAGAAAATGTAACTCAAATAGTTTCTTCATTGACCTGGGTAGTCTAAAACTAACATGTAAAATAAGTTGCAGCCTAATGAATCTTAAACTTTGCCTAATTCTTTCTCTCTGTTCAACCTCTTCCACTTCCCAATATCTTCAAACACAAAAATGTGTTAACTAACATTACATCAAAGTTACAATGGCACCGAAAAATGTGACCTATACCCATTTTTCACAGCTTCCCCCATGATGATGTGATCAAAATTCAGATGCTTGGCAACTGGTTCATGTTTATGACCGTCCCAAGGCTCAGTGATCCCCTTTTGTGACCTTCTGACGAGCAAAGTCAATGGGGAAGCCAGATTCACTTAACCACCAGGTTACTAACTTATCAACTGCAGTGATTCACCTAATTACTATGGCAAGAAAAGTCATAAAATGGGGCAAAACTGACTTAACAAATGTCTCACTTCACTTATTATCTGGAGATTATAATGAGATCTTTCCTTTCTATTAACAGCTTTACCCCCATGATGCTTAACTGAGGCACTGTTAAATCTCAAATAAAGTAAGCTATTTTATCCAGTAGGCATTTCATGTTTTTGCTTTTAAGGAGACTTTGATGACACCGACTCCAGATGTAACTAAGTCTTCACCTCCTATTACAACTTCACCATTGGTCCAGTTTTGGGACTCTCCATTGCCAGAAGATTTGGATAGAGAAGAGAATAGAGATGTCGACCGAAGTTTATCAGCAGTTTCAAGACAGATAGCAAATAAAGAACCAATAACACAGAAAGTTCCACTAAATTTTCTGCCCCTGGCTGAATTTCCCACATCTGGGCAGGAGACGTACAATCAGGAGGAGGTTCCTAGGAACACGCTCCTAAAAGTAACAAGGATAAAACCTCAAGCTACTGTTTCTGGAGTGGAAAAAGAAAAGTCACACAAAGAGTCACGACTTGTAGCAGCTCAACTGGGTGTTCTCCTTGGCTGCTCTGCTGTCCTTGGCATGGTCCTAGCTGTTGGCCTCCGCTGCATCCATTCCCAGTATTGTCATAAGCGGACTGAAGTCTCTTTTAGTGAGCCAGATAATAATGTCATCGCACTCCAAGATAGCGGAGAGATGATGCACTTCAGGAAGATACGAGAAAATAGCTTTGTCCTGGTACAGGCAGAGTACAACTGGATCAGCCCTTCAAGCAGTGTTACAAAAGCTGTTGTGTAGAGAGCCAGTTCATTGCGGTATTATTGATATTGTTCTTTTAGAGGTGAAATGTGTTTATCTTTGAGGCTATGATAAATATTACTAAGAACATAAAAATCTGTCTAATTGCATATATTCATTTAAGTGAAAACAATCAAAACAGGCATGCTTTAATTATATGACAACGGACTCTTAACTATTAGATATGTGTTATAAAACAGACATCTTCTTAGTTTTAAATGTCATAATTTTTTTTGTCCAAAGTATTACAGTTAATACCACATACTTATTAAAATTAATTCTTCAGACATTTTTGTTTTGTTGGTGCATTTGAACACTACGAGTAACAAGAACTGCAATTAAACATTGTCTTATAGTTAGTCTTTGCAAAATAAATAAATAAATGAAGCTCTTCTCCTGGCTATTCTTTTTCAAATTTCATCCCTCTTCTCACTTAGTGGCTTTGATTTGATGTGTGTGATATTTCTCAGATAAGTCAAATTTTGCCACTTGAACTAACTTTCCATTTCAGAAAAAAAAAACAATAGAGAGCAACACTTGCGTTTTAGAAAATTGATTCCTGGCATACAACACACTGACTGCCTTTATTATGAATTGATCTCCAGAAATGAAACAAAGATACCGCAAATGCCACCTTCTAGGAGTGGAACATGGCTCCTCATCAGGTGTAAATGGAAAGAAAGCTTCTCCTGGCCATTTACACCTTGATCACTTGACTTGTTAGATGCACCCAGATGACATTTGCTTTGTTTCCTCTCCAGATCAGTTTGATAAAATTATTGGAAGAGAAGTTTATTAAAGAACAGGAAGGTTTTGTTCAACTCAGGAACTCCCAACATGGAGGATACAGATCTATAGGCATATAATTAAAACTTTTAAATAAGAAGTTAGAAACCAACACAAACTGATATATAGAAGGGAGGAAAAAGGAAAAAGCGCAAGAAAGGAACAAAGTTAAATAGAAAAGATAGAAAAAAGTTATAAAAGAAGTGGTTGCCAACATTCTTCACAACAGTTATAAATATAAATCTCTTTGTACTTACAGTCATTTTAATTTCTTTAAAGTTACATCATGATTCTTTTCTTTCTGTAATCGATCATATTTAATCATCAAAAACCATAGGTCACAATTTCATTTTTTTCATTTTTATACAAGAAGTCTATAAAAGAGGCTGCCAGTCACTAAAAATAATGTTTTCTCTAAGCAAAGAAGTCAGTTTATCCATTTCAGACAAACATGGAGGGTTTTTGACCTGAAAGTCTTACTCCAGCTGTGCCCTCTTGAAGAAAGCCCATTCAGTGGCATCAGCTGTTTTGAATAGCAGATAAAAGCTGGAAAGGTGATCTGTAAACTTTGAATTAGCACCTGATGCTACCAACAATCTTTGACTTGTATGTTGCCAGTGAAATAATGTACACTCGAGGTATATGCAGAAATACCCCCAAATATGAATATAAGAAAGTAAAGAGAATAATTGGAGCAGCTCGTTGAGGAAGGACTGGGCGCACACAGGAGATAATGGCTGAATTCTGGAGGCAAAGGAGAAATAAGGAAGGAATAAGGAAGGAAAATGTGCTAACTTGTCCCAAACCCTGTGTGCAGTTTAGGAATCCTCCTGTACTCATAACTTCTGCTTGAAGAGCAGATGGCAGTTGTGATTAGGTAGGCTTTATGTGGTGCACCGGTTACACCTGTTCCTCCACCAGGAGGCCCTGCTCACAGTTACTCATGCTGCAGTCACCTCCCAATTGGATTACTGCTATGCGCTCTTTATGGTCTGCCCTTGAAGAGTATTTGGAAGGTTCAACTGGTAGCAGCACAGACAGTTATAGGTGCGCCATTCTTCATACATGACGTCTCTGCTTTGCAAGCTGCTGGGGCTCCCAGTATGGAAACAATTCAAGGTGCTGTTACCTGTAAAACCCTTCAGGGCTTGGGCCACCTTCTGGAACATCTCTTTCCAAGGGTGTGTATCTGTCCTGTTTCATCTGGCAAGAGAACCATGCTCTGGTCCTGTCAATGAGAGTGTGCCAGTTGATCAAGCCCAGGAAGAGAGCCATTTCTGTCATGGTGCCTACCTCTGGAACAGTTTTACTCCAAGGATTAGCCTTGCCTTGACTCTGTAGTCTTTTGCAAGGCATTTAAAGACTGGTGTGACCGTCGGGCTTGGGGAGCCCGAAAAAGGGGTCAGCCCATTTCTTAGTTGTGGTTATATTAAAAATATGGTGTCTTAAGTGTCTTATTGGCTGCTAAATTATGTTGTTTGAGTTTGGTTATCTTTTTGTTAACCATTTTTTAAAACTGTGGTTTAAATATTAGCTACCATAGACAAGTCTATGAGATAGGTGATCATGGAAATAAGTTCATTAAATTGATTAAAATTTTCTATTTTTAAAATACAAGTAAAATTATAAGCAAAGTTTTAAATTTACTTTAATTGACACATTTTTCAAGTCTTTTGTTTATAGAACTGCATCTTTCAATGGCTCAAGTATAGGTTTTGGTTACTTAAAGTGGAATAAAATAAGTACACCACCACCATATTTGATTAGAAATGTATAGATCATTAATTCATTTAAAAAAAAAAATTATTAAACATTTTCCAACAATTTAAAAACAAATTTACATTTCCAACAACGTTACAACATCATCAACATTCATATTCATATATCAATTACTTGTTACTTTTATATCTATTGTCTAGCTAGATATACCAGGGGTCCCAGACTAAGTAATACTCCATTTCATTTCGATCTTTTAACTCTGCATGGAGATGGAGAGGCTGACTCTAGAGTTGAAAGATCATTAATTCATTTTTATTAGAAGTAATGCTTTACTAAAAATAATTCCAGCTATGATTGAATAGTTCCTAGAATTGTGTGTTTTACTACTTTACAAAAATAGTGCAGCAAGAACAATGTTCTTACATTCATTGTGTGACTAATTTGGATTGGCTCCTGATTCCCACATAAAGTAAGGAAACTATTTAGCATAGGTCTTATTAAATAAACACACTCTGCACCTCACAATTGTTGCTTAATTTTAGAGGCTTCATATATTCAATTCGGTGTTAATGTGATTCCTAATTAACTGAAAAAATAGATCAACAAACTGGTAAATATTTAAACAACTATCAGCTTTCATTTAAAAAGTTTGTTCTGATGGCTTAGCAGTTTATGAATAAATTACAAAATCTTACATCCTCCTGTACTATTTCTTTATCTGTGTTGAACAGGAATTGCTATAGCCTACAGTCCTTTTTTCTTTCTGTATTAAGAGTAGGAAAAAGAAAGTAGCACAATTTTCTCTGTTTTTCCCCCTGCTTCTTATTAAACAACCACCATGAGCAATTCTGGCAACATACAGGACCATTGAATGACAAGGGAGTTTAGAAAGTGAAGTAGAATGGCTGTCACAGTTTGCTCTAATTTTTGCTCAGTGAACATGTCCATTCACCTGTCAACTTAATGCATAAAGTTAGTTGTGCAGTTGTGTTTTAGCTTTTTGCAAACTATAAATCCAGCCATCACCTTGTTTTCTAGTTCATAGACAATCAGAAATGAAGAAACTTGGGAAATGAAATTAGCCTGAACACAAAATCAAACTAAATTTTGGGAACACTTTCTTGAAGTGTGTCAGTGTGTAAGAATTTTTAATGGAAGAAAAGCACAACAAACATAAAGTAATTATTATTATTATTATTTTTAAATTACAGAGTAAGCCTAACCTTTGCTGAAGTTCATCTGAGGGCCCAGTGTAAGGTAGAAGGTCCACTCTGCAGTCAGGAAAAAGGCATTTCTCTTGTGAAGCCCCCAGATCTGTTGATGAGAAAGCTCTTTGTTCATGGACAGAAATGTAAAAAAAAAAAAAAAAAAACAGACCCCCTCTTTCTGTAAGGACCAACCAAAATGAGACAGTAGCATACAAGCTTCTGTTTTCTTCAGAACTCTTCCACTCAAAATTCTGACAAAACAGAAAACAAGGAATAAGGAATAACATACAAAAATTTGTCTGGCTTTTTAACCTACAAGGTTTGCAGATCAAAGTCAGTTTGAAAAAGTTGGTGTTTTAAAAACTGAATTAATAAGAAGTAAAGTTAGTTTACTTCTCAAGAAATAAATTTTCTACATATGCATATGAAATACAAATGAGTCAAGATGACTGGACAATGATATTTCAGGAGGAATGTGCAAAGGTGAGATAAGTAGAATTTAGTATAATAGTTGCCTCAGCAAGTAGCATTATGTCACTGATTTTGTTTGGGTCCTGAAATTAATTATGGTTCAGTTTGGATACCTTAATACTAGGATGGAAGCTCCCAAATGCTATATTGAAAAGCTAGAACACATCACCTCCACCTGTTGTCAAAACCAAGCAAACACTTAGTTGTAACCATGTAATCAGCGGGAGTAAGGTCAACTCATAACCATAGAGTCTAGGTGCAAATCCCTCCAGTTATGGAAGCTGAATATGGGCCAGCCACTATCTCTCAGCCCAAATAGTTTTTTGGCTTATTATAAATGTCCTTCTAAGCTCCTGGGGTGGGGGTGGGAAAAGCAAAATATAAATCTAATAACGAATAATAATATGATAGAGGAAATATGGAGGACAGATTAATAAGAGGGAAACAACAAAGACAATTGTAAAGAAAGATATGCTAGGGCTTGTGTGTAAAAGTTCAAAAAGTAATCAATGAGGGGATTCAAAGAAACAACCCAACCCCCCCCAAAATACTAGTTACAATGGCAAAGAGTCTACTTAGATATCGGAGAAAAGGCATTCAAACTTGAATAAGTCTTGCACGACATAAAGAAAGGGATAAATTCACAATCTGAAACATCAGGGGAAAAATCATTCATTTAGTTCCCAAATCTTTTTTTAAAATACTTTTCATTAAACATTTTCCAGAAATTTATAACATATCAACACTTTCAACAATGTTACAGCACCATCAACATTCATATTCATATATTAGTTACTGTGTTACTTTTATATCTATGGTGTAACCAGTTGTACCAGGCATCCCAGACCAGATAATACTCCGATTCACCTCTATCTTTTAACTCTAAGATCAGCCTGTCCATCTCTGTGCAGTCCAAATTTTTTCTTATCACTGTTCCCTCAGATGGTATAT